TGTGCATGGGGTCGCTATGAGTCGGTTCTGACTCGATGGCACCTGACAACAACAACAGTCACTCTGTGGGAGAAAGATGTGGCAGTTGGCTTCCTAAAAGATTACAACCTTGGATACCCTATGGGGCAGTTCTACTCTGTCCTGTAGGGTCAAAATGAGTCAGAATCAACTCGAGAGTAGTGGGTTTTAGTCAAATAGTGGTAATAAAGTGGAATCAGGGAATAAATTCCTTAAGATGTTGTTATTGAATGCCGTCAAGTCAGTTCCAACTCTTAGCAGCCCTGTGAGTTTCCAAGGAATGGCTGGTGAGCTTGAACCTCCAACCTTGCGATTCACAATGACCATGCAGTCCAGCGCATTAACCTGCAGCACCACACCAGGAAAATAATTACTATTAAAAATGTGAATTTGTCTAATTGTGTGAATTTTTTTAGTGCCTTCAGGTTGAATTTAAAGTGAAGCAATCCAACTTATCAATAAATTTAACATTATTGTTTTAAGTATTGTACCAAATAGTTCTTTAAAAGTTGTTGTTGTTAAGTGCCATGGAATCGGTTCCAACTCATAGCGACCCTGTACAGGGTTTCCGAGGCTGTAAATCTTTATGGGAGCAGAGCCTCATTTTTCTCCCGTGGAACAGCTGGTTGTTTCGAACTGCTGACCTTGCGGTTCACAGCCTGATTCGTAACCACTACACTCACTACCAGAGCTCCTGTTGTTTAAAGTAACACAATTTAATTTTAAAGTTAGATTTAAAATTAGAGACATAGAAGAGTTGAGAGAAGATTTCACTTTAAGACCCACCAAAATACTACCATCAAATCAATTCTGACTGATAGTGACCCTACAGGACAGAACAGAACAGCCCCATGGGGTATAAGTATTTAAGGAAGCAGAGTAGCAGATGGGTTCTTTCATGGAGTATCTGATGGGTTTGAAATGCAGATATTTGCGTAGCATCCATCAAATAAACACTTAACTATTGTGACACCAGATTCCTTTTAGGTTAAGATCACAAACCAAAAGTCACTGCATTGATATCGATTCAATGAGGGTCACTATGAGTTGGAACTGACTCAACGGCACTAAACAATAAATACAATAGGGTTTTCTAGGCTATTAATCTTCACAGAAGCAGAAAGCCCTATATTTCTCCCTCAGAGAGGCTGGTAAGTTTGAACCGCCACCCTTCTGGTTGACTGTTGTGAGTTGCCTGCTGTCTGGTTGGTTCCAGTTTATAGCACCCTTATGCACAACACAATGAAACACTGCCCAATCCTGCACCATCACAATCATTGTCAAGCTTGAGTACATTGCAGCTACAACTGTGCTAATCCATCTCTTTGGGAATCTTCCTCTTTCAATGACCTTCCTCTTTACCCAGCATGATGTCCTTCTACAGACAATGATCCCTGTTGATAACATGTCCAAAGTATGAAAGACAAAGTATTACCATCCTGGCTTCTAAGGAACATTCTAGCTGTACGTCTTCTAAGAATAAAATACTTGTTTATTCTTCTGGCAGTCCACGGTACTTTTAATATTCTTCTCCAACACCATAACTC